CTCCGTCCCAAAAAGAGTTGTAAATTTGACTTTTCTTAGTCAAACTGTCTCGTTTTGTTCACTTAATTAGGATGTCAATTTTTAATTATTTTCTAATTTGGAGTTTACAACTTTGAAAAGATTTTAATGTAGTTTTTGAATATGTAAATTTTAATTATTAAAAATTGAATTAATTATCCATAAGGAGGGTTGACTTTAATTATTGGTTGACTAAAAATGTTGACTTTGCAAAACAAATTGGGACGGAGGGAGTACATAGCAATATCGTGGTATATCTAGCTTTTATGATTCACACATTTATATTAATTAATAATATAAAAATATTATTTGCGGGAGTATCTTTTACACCGTAAATACTTAATATATAATATAATATTTTCACTCTATTATATATTACGTATATATGTTACTTTAAATATTTTTATTAAAATATTATTTGTCACATTTTTTGTTAATATATGTAGCTTAGTTGGAGTCTACAAACTCCAACTGTTGGACCACTAACTCTTTTGTTTACAATTGGGAAACAAATGGTATACATAGCAATATCACCATATATAAATATATTATATAAGAGTCTATCTTTTACACGATAAATACGTAATATATATATATTATTCACCCTATTATATATATGTTACTTTAAATATGTTTGTTAAAATATTATTTGTCACAGTTTTTAGTCTAAGAGCTCCAATTGTTGAAACTCCGGACATTTTTTTTTAACTTTATATATGCAATATAGGTATTATGTAATGCATTATATATTTTTTCACTCTATTATATATGTTACTTTAAATATTTTTGTTAAAATATTATTTGTCACAAATTTAGTCTAAGGACTCCAACTGTTCAAACTTCAAACATTTTTTAAACTTTATATATACAATATTGGTGTTATATGACAGATTAAAAAATTATGAATTTATACTTTTATTATTTCTGAGAAATTATGAAAGAAAATTATGAAAATTGTCTAAAGGTTCAACAATTGGGGTTTCTAGACTAAAAAATGTGAAAAATAATATTTTAATAAAGATATTTTAAGTAACACACACACACACACACATATATATATATATATATATGTATATATATATATATAGTGAAAAAATAATATATATTATGTATTTACGGTGTAAATATACTCTCGTATATAATATATTTATAATATTTTGGGAAAGTTCCCGAAATAGGACTAAAAAAGTTTGAAAATTCCAAAATAGGACTGCCATGTTTTTATTCCCAAAATAGGACTAATTACTGCCAAGTTTAGAAAATATTGCCATGTTTGAAGTCTGCTACTGCCAAAACATGGCAGTAATAAGTCCTATTTTGAGAATAAAAACATGGAAGTCCTATTTTGGAATTTGCAAACTTGTTTAGTCCTATTTCAGGTAATATCTCTAATATTTATGTTATTATAATTAATATAAATGTATGAATCATAAAAGATATATATACCTCGATATTGCTATGTATACCATTTGTTTCCCAATTCTACACAATAGTTCTGGTGGTCTAGTGGTTGCCGTTTGGTAGTAGGGGATTTTGCCCTTGCAGCGCAGGTTAGAACCTCAGTGGCGTTTTCTTTTGTTTTTTAATTTTTTCACAACTTTCTCATCACTAATGACATGGATAATAATGATGATTCAAATTTAATGATGTGGATTTTCGTTTGACATGTGGCGTTTTTTTTGCTAGAATATTGATCGAATCGTATGTACCGCCAGTTGCAACATTTAAACGTAGTTGAGTTACTGATTTACTTCATTAAAGACATAAGATACTAAAATGCAACATTACTAATAGTTAAGTTACTGTTTATGCATTTTACGCCATATATATACTTACCAAGGAATTCGCACGAATGGCAAAAGACTGTGTTGGACCTTTGAATCATGAAAAATAAACCTCAATCAACACGTACTAAATAATTATTGTCTTCCAGCCTTGCTGCATTGGTAGCTAGCCGGCATCGATGAGCTTGTTCGGTTGCTGTTACAACGAGTTGGTTATTTGGAGAAGTCGACGTCCATTTGTGGACAAACAACCCTTCCAACCCATACTACTTTTCATTTCTTCTTCTTCATATCTGACCTCGTTGAGACCTTGGCTGATTGACTAGCTGTAGGTAAGTCGAGTAGTCCCATAATTAAGTCATGGAACAAGTGAGTTTCCCCGTAGATCCATTGCTCAAGAAGGCATGAAGAAGAAAGTCTGACGGAAAAGGTAATGTTAGAGATTGGTATATAGCACGCACATTTTTTTGAATTACGTGGCCTAACATCACTTTTTTTTTTACAATTGACCTAAGTTCACTTAAGTATCCTAATAAATACAACATCCAACTTTTAGCTTAAGGTACTTAAGGCTAACATAAGTTTTTGTTTGAAAAAACATAAATTCGGCCTTTTCAAAGTAAAAACTAAAAAAGCGTAAAAGTGTTTTTTATAACTATATCAAGCATTGCTTAAGATAATGTTATTTTACTATATTAATGACATTGTGAGTACCACCTGAGGTGGGTTAGATGCAATTAAATTAGTTCATAAAGAAAAGTCAATATATACAATTAAAGTACTTAGAGATAGAGAAATGCTCAGGTCCAGCCGAGGGACGGGAGCTGTTGTCCGAACTTTGACGTTTGGGGGAGTTAACGGTGGAAGTTTTTGATAAAGTTTTTTGAGCAAGTTGCTCACCAAGTCTAGTTTATCCATACCAAATTTGAGCTCAAAATTCTATCGAGAAGGCAGTCAAATCATTTTTTGATGTTGACTGTGTTTTTATATGTATATTTTGGAGCAGTCAACTTCAAAAAATGATTTGACTGCCTTTTCAATCGAATTTTGAGCTGAAATTTGGTATGGATAAACTAGACTTGATGAGGAACATTCTCAAAACATTTTATCAAAAAACTGCATCAGGAACCGCCCCAAACGTCGAAGTTCAGACGGCAGCTCCCGTCCCTCCGGCTGGACTTGCGCATTTCTCCTTAGAGATAATTCCCTAACTAAGACTAAGACATGACAAAAATGCAATAATAGGACCTTAAAATTCCGTAGGACTAAAAGAATGTGTTCAGACGGAACTATCCTTGATGTGAGTTTTCTCGCACTTAAAATAAATAGTGATAGAGGGTGTAAGTACGAGTATCGTCTTCACAAGGATGGAAAAAGGGAATCAAGAGTTAATTAAATTCAGTGATTAAACTAAATGAAAATAAAAGCGTCGTGCGAGATTGATTGAATGAGAAAAAGAACTAATTCGAATGAGCGAAAAAAATAATGAGTATTATATTCTTATAAGTCGTAACGGAAGTGATCCTTTCCTCGATTTCTGACAAAGAAACATATCATATGTCTTTTTAACAACTCTTATTCAGAAACTTCTTCGCCAACCCAGAGTCCTAGACATTTCCGCCACATTCTCCCTCTCCAGTGTCATCGCGAATGAGGTCTCTCAGACTTCTCTAAGTACCGCACAACTTCTCCGTCTTCGATTTCACCGTTAATGCCCAAACACAATCAAACTCTCTCTGTTTCGTCTCCAACTGAGGTCTGTTAAATGTCCCACACCGAAAAAGTTTGGACGAACAAAGTTCTATATTAACACATGGGCCACTCCTCTTATCATGTTAACCTTTTTGGATGAAACCCCAGATTTTAACATTGTATCAGAGAGCTAAATCGATCCATGGTGTGGGGTCCCTTATGAAGAATGATGACACAATTATATAAAAAATGACAACACTACTACAGGATGGATCTATCACGTCATAGCTTTCACGTCGGTTTCTAAAAAACCGTCGTCATATAATTTATTTTTTATACGAAAATATATCTTACGTCAGTTATTACTAGAACCGTCGTGATAAGCTTTTTCTAACGGCGGGTTTTATCCCAACCGTCTTGACAGGTACATAGACCGCACACCTTGGACAAAATAATTTGCCCTTGTCACAACGGGTATGAACTTAACAGACATAATAGTATAGCAGCACATATTTAAAGTCTTTTTACAATTTTGTTGAAAACTATAATTCATCAATGAACCCTAGCCCTCTGGGCATCTCCTTCGCAACTCCCTTCTCTAAACACGGCCAAGATCTACTACAGCAGAGATAATATCTGGATGTACACTGATCTTTAATTCCTTCAGAAACAATAAGACGTCAGTGGCCTTGCCAACTGACGTCGTATGTATTATTTTTTTTAATGAAAAAACATACTAAGGCTGTTCTTGGGAATAACTGACGTTGTAGGCATATGTTCAGAATCGTTTTTACGTCGGTTGTGACAAATAACCGACGTTGTAGATTTATTGATGTTTAAACGAAAAAGCTTTTACGTCGGTTTTGGAACCGACGTGGAAAGTACATACCTATTACGTCTCTCACCTAGACGTCGGTTGTAAAACCGACGTGAAAGGGTCAAAATAACCGACGTGAAAAACACATTCTCTAGTAGTGCAATTACGGCCAGATGAAAAAATGGATCGATGAAAAAAAATGAATGATAGAACGATTCAGATGAAATGTCTGGTCGTGAGGAGGGGTGTTAAACGTCCCACACCGGAAAAGTTTGGATGAACAAAGTGCTATATTAACACATGAGCTACTCCTCTTGTAATATTACTTTGTGGCTCTGTCTTCTCTAGATTATATACTATAGTATAAACTTCACCATTAGAAAATGATGTCCATGTCATCATATCAAAATGATTGATGTGGTTAAATAATGTCATAAAAACTTTGAAGGATCTAATGGATGAAGAATCTACATAAAACCTCACTGCCATATATGTTGAATTTAGTGATGCAGTCTTCCATGGATCATACCGATGCCGAAGAGCATTTCCATTATACTTAGGCAATAATTATGGAATTTAAATAGGGTACACGGACCTAAATGGGACCCGTATGTTCACTATAGATTAGGGAAGAGATAAGATTATCAATCTATTTTGAACTATATATGAAGAAGTCTCAATGATATTCATGCATGTTCTCACTCTATTTGGTCGATAAAGCTGAACTAAACCAGATGAGCCTGAATATTCCAGATACACACATTAGGTCATAGAGGAGACCTGCTAACATTCAATATTTTAAAATTTGTGTATTGCTTATCATATGTTTTTAACCAAGGGAAATTGCTTACATGTAATTAACTTACTCCTATAAAATCAAATGGCTTCGTTGTCCACGGTGTTGTATCTACCGCCCTCCCACGGGAGGCATGACAGTCTGAGAGCTAGTCTGAGAGCAGGGAGCGGTAATAATATCAAGCCTCATAAGGTCGTCATCACTGGTAAGCGAAAGTTGTTGGTCCTTGCCGCCGCCGCAGGCGGCGGTGATCCTAATGAGGTCAAGCCTCATGAGGTCATCACTGTCGTGAATCCCCTGTTGGTCCGTACTGCTGCAGTACTGGAGCAACCGATCAGGATGACAATGACTATGATCCTTGCCCTTTCTATGACACTTGCAATAGTGCAGACATTGAGGGAGTCCTCCTCTACGCTGATGAAACTTGTAGGCAACGCCATCGAGTACTTCCTTCTGCTGCAAAAGAAGGGGTTTCTATGCCAAGAGATTTATCTGAAGGCTCTCACCGGCATCAAGCCAATGTCGACCTTCGACGCTTCACCTTCAGTCGCTGTCAGAGAAGAAGTTTGATCACGATCCTGGTGGGCGGACGGAGAACTCCTCTGGTGATTTTACGGTAGTAAAAGGCGACATCATGCGCTGGTCCGGAGGCACCATCCTCATAGAAAATGGCGACATCACCATCAATAATTGAATCGTATTACTTTGCTTCTTTTCTGATTAGTTCATTTCTTCCCTGCTCACAATCTTATGATTTTGTTCACCCCAAATTTTGAACGGTCGTTCAATTGTTTTACGAAAGATCGTTGCACTCAATTGTTCAATTCCCTGCAGAAGATCCTTACACTCATAGGCCCTACTTTTACCATCAAACATATACATTTACCATTAACTTTTAGCTTTATTTGTACCTTTCTTCTGAATGACTAATTCAATGCAATATGCTCTCTGCCTTTTTAAAAGTTTAAAGGCATTAATAGTATTATCAACCACCAACTTGTCAATATTGTGTTTTTGTAGTGTAAAAAAATCATGTTTACTTTTATTTCTACTTTTAGAAAGTGATTTATATTATTTATTCTTGCTGAAGAAGTTGATTGAAAAAATTTAAAATAAAAATAAAATTGAAGTGGTTTGATTTAAATATTTGATGTTCGATAAAAATACATTTGAATCAATTAAATTGAACATTTTCTACTAAAAATTATTGTCTTCCTAGCCTTGCTACACTGGTAGCTAGCCGGCGGACATGAGCTTGTTTGCAGTGGCGTATCCACTATGGGGGCAGCGGGGGCAGCTGCCCCCACTCAACCCCTACCCAACCCCTATATATATGTCCAAATTTTTATAAGAAATTGCTCAAAATAAGAGTTAAATGTAAAAAAAATCTAAAATAGGATTAAAAGTATTTTCTTTAATATTAAAAGAATGAAAGGCTAAAAAAATCACTAAATTTTGTTATGTTTAACTTATATTTAGATAATTTTATTACATTTTATCTGCAATTACATCTTTACACACCCGTAATATAAATTAATTTTCTTTTTATTCATACTTTTACATAGATATTATAAACTAAAATTAATCAAACAATATTAATAATGTGATTTGTTATTTGTGATATATGAGACTAAATTGTAGTCAAGTTTGCCCCCACTCGCCAAATTTCCTGGATACGCCACTGCTTGTTTGGACACTTTTACAACGATCCGGTTTTGTGGACAAGTCGACGTCCATGTGTGGACACACGAGCTAGCCATCCTACCTGTACGACTTCCCTTACCTCTTCTTCGTATCTAACTTTGTTGAAACTTTGGCCAAGTAATAGTGTACAATTAATTGTTATTAATTATTAGCTAGTATCCTAATTGTATTAGGCAACTTTTTCCATTATAAATATACACTTAGAGCTACCAGTCTAGTTAAGCCTGTTTATTATTCTCACATGGTATCAGGGTAAATTATACCGTACACCCGGTTGTACGGTTCTCACCGTACAACCGGGTATTTTTGCAATCAATTTCAAAGTCAATGATAAAGGTCTTTCGGTGTTCCCTGTTAAGCTGCTCGCTGCCCTGGGATCGGTGAAGGAGACGCAGACGCGATCGATTTTGCCCGCTCCCTGAGTTCGGATCGATGCTTGACTGCTGCTTGCTCGCTGCTGGAAGATGTCTTCTGCTACGTATTTTAGTTCTGCACCGATGGATGAAATCTTCTCGCTGAAGAATTCGTTGTGGGCTTGTGGGCTTCTATCGAAGAGGAAGTGTTATGCTTCGTGTTTCTTTTTTTATTGTGCTTCGTATTTTAGTCATTGGAATCCCAAAAATTTTAACTTGTAATTTAATGAAGATGATTTTTGAATTTTCGATACTCATTTTGTAGTTATGTATGCTCAATTAGTACTGATGTTCTGCTCATTTTAAATGTGACATTGATGCATGTCTTAAAAGTGTCATATACAATGATTCTAATACTTAATAGAGAAAATTTGATGCTCAGTGAAAATGTGTTGATGTACATCTAACAAAGTTTATGATTTTCATATCAATACTAATTTTGTAAGTTTGGTATGTTTATGCTATATTCATTTCAAAATTTCATATCAATGCATATTTCATAACTACCATATACATGATTCAAATACACAATAAACGAAGTTGGTACTCAAAGAAAATGTTTTGATGATCAATTAACAAAGCTTACGACTTTCATATCAATGCTCATTTTGTAAGTTAAGTATGCTCATTTGATATTGATGTTTGATCATTTTAAAATGTGATATAAATGCATATTTCAAAAGTATCATATTACATTAGATTCACATATTGATTATAGATATAATTTAATATTTTTTACAAAAAAATAAATACAAAGAAAGTGAATTAGAAGTTATGAAGCAGAGATCGTGATTCCTAATATTAGACTCCTAATACTCAACATAATTGTTCTGATATTCATTAAAAGTTCATTAATGCTCATTCACCAGCAACCATGATTATCATCTCAATAACGGAGGTTTGATGCTCAGTTAAAATGTTGTGATGTTCAACTAACAAACCTTATGATTTTCATATCAATGTGCACTTTGTAAGTTGTGAATGTTCATTTGGTACTGATGTTATGCTCATTTTTTAAATGTCATATCAATGCATATTTTAAAAGTATCATATTACATTAGAATCACATATTTAAATTAATAGGAGTAGATAATAGATATAATTTAATAAATTTTTATAAAAGAAAATGATAGAAAAAGAAAAAAATAGAAGATATGAAGCAAAAATCGTTATACTCATTGTTAGCCTCTTACTACTCACTAAAATAGGTCAGATGCTCACCAAAATTACAATATTGCTCATTTAGCATAAGCCATGACTTTTCGCTTAAATTACAAAAATGCCACCGAAAAAAAAATGGCATGTACTGATTATTGGGCTGTTTTCATTACTGGGGCCGGATGTACATACATCCGGTTGTACAATATAGGCTCTCTGGTATCAGAGCGTAAAGTTTTTGAACAATTTTTTTCCTTATGGCGTCTACATCCACTGCAAACAGCACCATGGTCGCGCCACATTAACGGCAGCGCCACCGCCTGTGAGCATGTCTCCGGCAATTTGTTTGACAACGGCTCCGATCAATCTCACGTTTGGCTCAACCTCGTCAAATTTGCAGTCTTCCTTGTTGTTTCCATCCCACAGCTCTGCCCTGGACAAGTCTGCCCTGGACAAGTCTGCTTGGGTACCACCAGTATTCGACTTGTCTTCTCCCTTCATCGCCAGTCGATCCACCTGTCATGTCTCCACCATTCTGTCTGTGTCGTCTGGTGCATCTCGAACCCAATTTGCAAGGCCTACGTTTTGTCATTCGCAGGGCCTGGCTCCGACTCATACTGTGTGTCCCATTGGTCGGTGAGTTGCTATGACATCACTAGGTTCCCTTGAAGCAATTGCTTAATCCATGGGATTCTCTGCTCCCAATATTACAAATATTGTCACTACCAAGCTTGATGCGGTTGAAGATTATTTACCCTAGAGAACACAATTTGAATCCTTTTTGGTGTCTCAAGGACTGCTGGGTATTGTAGACGGTACTCTTTCTACTCCTCCTTCCACTACTTTTAATAATGAATATTATAACTGGCTAAAGTTAGATCAAACAGTCCATTCCTGGTTCTTTGCTACTTTACCTCGTGATATACTTGTTGAGGTTCATACTTTAAAAAATTCCGCTACCATTTGGGAACGGTTGGAATCACGTTTTATGGCTGCCGGTTTGGCTCGTTTCACGGAACTAAAACGATTGTTATCCACCTCTAAAAAGAAAGAAAATCAACCATGGAACAATATATGCGTGAAATTCAGAAAATTGGTGATGCCTTAGCAACCATTACTTCCCCTGTATCCATGAAAGGCGTCCTTGAGCAAACACTTATTGGTCTTGGTCCTGACTATGAGTCCATGACTACCACTTTGACTATGTTCCCTGGGGGTCTCATGTTTGATAGTATACGGACCAAGTTGGTTCAACAAGAGCAATAACGTATTCTGTACCTTTGGCATTTGCGGTTCAACCTACGACTCCAGCTGGACAAGGGAATGACGTGTGTGGGGATATCATCAAGTTAGGGGGTGTGGACATCGCGGTTAGCATGGACGTGGGAACAACGGGAGGGGCCGTGTGGACAAAAACAGATGTATGATGCATGTCCCGCCGCCTAGTACTATCAGCCTCGGTCGGGGCAGCTAACACTAGTGGAAAAACTGTAAAGGGAGGGCACTTTGTTTTTAGCCACAAGCGCCTCTAATATTGACAATTTTTTTCTTTTTTTGTTCACAACGCGTGCGGCACTTTTAAAGTATTAACACCTCTAAGTAACTTTATTTTGAAGTATCTGACCACTTTTATACGGTACTTGGATTAATGAAGCGCCTCTGAGTTTTTTGTTTTAACAATATAAAGCACACGCACCAAGTTTCAGCGTTAACACCCGGCCGCCGCACCCTCAAAACCTAGATCTATTTTCCATATCATCCCAGAGATGAGAATACTTTCAGAGAAGGAGGTTAGATTTAAAGTGTCATGCCACCCTCTTCGTCCATTCTACTGCTATTTTATGTCCTCTTCCTTGAACAACTTGTCATCAACTCCCATTTGTTAATTCTCTAAGTAAATTCTTTTTATCATCTATTGCTTAATTATTTTTTGGTTTCTATTAGTATCTTTACTTGATCTGAACAGGATGAAGAATAGACCATAGCACCATACAAAGAAGTGAAAAAGTGAGCGCTGACATGAAGAGCTTCGTCGATAATGCCATGTACAACATAGTCTGCGCCACCGACTCCCCGGCACTGCCACTTCCCACCGCCTACAATTGTCTGCAGTCCGCTCACGCCCGCCACCGCTGCTGCAACACCGTAATATATGGCACCGCCGTTTTATTAAATCAGATCTGTTTATTTTTTAACGGTGAAGTCAGATTGTTTTTGTTAGGGTGAAGTCAGATTTGTTAGAATTAGATTTGTAATTTGTGATATTGTTGTATATTGCAGTGCAATTTTTTAATAATTGTATATCTATAGTGGATATTGGTAGATATTAATCCGTATTACAATGATTGTACGTACCGGACTATATGATTCTATTTTGATAAATTTATAAACAATTGAAACGGTGTGGTACGTTATAAATTTATAATGCTCTATCATAACTGAAAATTGAATTGAAAATGGAAATTGGTGATAACTACAACTGACGTGCAAATTGATATACGGAGAAAGTTATACACGAAACAGATCAACTCTCAGGCGCTTTTGATAGAAGAAACGCCGCACGGTATTTTAAAATTAAATTAATATTAGGAGGCACTTC